TATTTATTTATACCTGCATTGCATTTTATCTTTATTTTTAATTTTCTGACTACCGTAGGTCTTCCACGGAAGCTGCTCCCAACCTGGCGTTGGGGGCAGCCTACTACCCTACCTCCCCTTTACCCCATTGCATATGCGAATAGGGTTTTGTTGTTGTTGTTATTGTTAGTACCATGTTTTTAGTATGCTTATGTTTATGAGACTCATAATGCTACTCTAGATTAGTGATTATACTACTGGGCTTTGTAAGCTCAGTGTTCGGATGTTTTTATTCGGAGGTCAGTAGCCAAATTCGATCGTGGAGCACCGTCGTAACAAGACTTCTAGCATCTTCTTCATAGTATTGTACTATAGATTTAGTAGGCATATGTATTCATAGTACCTTACTCATGTATTTGGTTTATCAACTCTGAGTTGTACTATTTAGATTTTATATTATGTGTCACAGAGCTCTTATTTATAAAATGTTTTATAACTGTTATTTACGTCTTTTATGATATCATTCAATATGTTTTAAAAAATAAACAGATTCTAAAATTCAAGGGTTGCCTCAGCGACCCAATGTGACACTTTAGACTCATTTGGGTTTGGGGTATTACAGCTACAAGCAGTTATTTCAAGGTTAATGGTAAAGAAGTTTTTCAAGGTCATGTTTCTTGTCTTCGAAAAAAATTAATACTAGAAGTTCCTTAGAAGATTTGCATGAGCTTTACAAGACTTTTTTCCCCAAATCTCTGTCGATTTCCCCACAACATATGTTTTTATCTTTGTTTTCTTCAATCGGAATGTCTAAAGAACAAAAGCATCAACTGAAATAGTCTCAAGGTGGCTCTGTTTAGGGTTTTAAATAGCATTCGCGGTAACGTTTTCGGTCGCGTCGCATTTATCATGGTTGCGGATATAACGGATGCTATTACGACCATTGTGTATATTACGATCGTGAATTTTTTTGAAGGAGCTAATTTTTTAATAAAAAATATGTTTTTTAATTAAAATAACGGAATAATAGCATAATAATGGTCCGTTATTGCCGCGATTGACCACGATCCATTAAATTACGATCGCTATCTGTCGCTATTTGTGTGATCCTGCTTCACACCATTATTTTCTGCGATAGCAGTTTCGGACACTGCCGCGACAACGATATAACGGCCACGACACCACTATTCGACCGTTATTTGAAACCCTGGCTCTGATACTAGCGTTATTATTGCAGCTAGTGAAAAATCTACAATAATCGATTCTCATAATGCTTGATCTAAAATAAGGTAATTTAAAAACAAAAAGTATATGTTTTGGAAATCCATTTGAGAAATTTCTCAATTTTCTCACTAATCTTATTAATGTTGTTTAATTTGTATGTTTAACAGAAAAAACCAGCTAAAAGGTTAGTCAAGTTCCAGGGCTCTCTTCAAATATGTGAGCATGGGGAAAATACGGTTAGAAACCCATCAAAGGATTCCCTTATCCAAGGTAAAAGAAATCATGTGTGTATTTCTATCTCTATTCAAGTTTTTGATCTTTTTGATTGGATATTTTTATTAAAGCTTTAGTTGTTTTTTTCTTTGATGGAACAATCCGGGTATTGCAGATGTTGCACTTCAGAGGGAGTGAAAGGAGAGATGAAAAGAGAGGGAGGAAATAGGAGATTGGGCTTTGGGATTGAACATATTTTAGAAGAGAAGAAAAGGGAGGGAATAAGAGGAAAGAGGGACGATTTTCATGTAGATTAAGTTTCGTCACCGCGACTCTTCCTCTTCTTAGTTCTTTCTCTGCCAACGAAGGTGAATGAATGGTCGATAATGGTTCGAGGGCTGGAATCGGAGATGAGATTTGATTTTAGTTTTTATTTTAAAATCCTATATGGCATTAAATATTAATATTTTTTATTTGATGTCAATCTAATGCGACTATTATTAAATTATTTCAAGTCATCGAACTGTAAACTTTAAATTTGATAACTAAGATTGTTAACGGTTTCAAATTGAGAGACTGTAATTAAACTTTGAACAATAATTTTCAATATATGAAAAATATAGTTAACAATAACAAATAAAAATGAGATCAGTGGAAAACGAACTATCTGATTAAAAAATAAGTCAGTTAATTAACATAATTAATGGACCGTCTAAACTAATAACGAAAATCGAATGTCCACCCTTATTTATCTCATAATTTTTATAATTAATATAAGAGTTAAATTACATGATTGTATCTGTTTAAAAGATATTTAATCTATTTGACAACGAAGGTTTAAACATCCCTAACATATGATGTGTTCGAATTTTGAACCTCTAAAAAGAATAATAATTTCTTTAACCATTAAAATAATTTGATTTATACATCTCGTGAAATTTATAGTTTTATCTCTCACCTAACAATCACTCTATTGTAGTCGTTGGTGTTTGAGAAATCGTGACTTTTAAGAAGAACAACGATTCTTTTAATAACTTAAGTAAATTAGTTCTTAGAATAAAAATTTTAAATAATAACTCAATAATGATAGCCGTCCCTAAGGCAAGATGCTAGCTCTTCGTAGTAAAGGTCACAATCAGGAACTTCTTACCATCGAGTCGTAGATGAAGAGCATAGAGCAAGCCTGGAAGTTTGTTTTCCTTGGAAATGGAGTTGATGGTTTCGTCTTCAACTTCCAGATGTTCCACCATTCTTTCAACAATCCTTACCATCGATCTGGGCTCGTCGGACTCGGACAGGGTTATCAGGAACCTCGGAAAATAGCGTTGCTTCACTTCTTTTTCGTCCAGAATTAAGCGACAAAGCGCGGTTTTCCCAACGCCGAGCATCCCGATAACCCCAGCAGCTTGAACGAATCTCGGCTTTGTTCATTGAGAAGCCACATTTTTAAAGTCTCCTAGTCTTGATCGAAACCGAAAACCTTCCCCCGGTTCAGAACCGGCTCGTAAATCCTCTTTAAGAAGCGTTGTTTTTCTTCTTCTGAGAGGTCAAGATGCGCGTACTCATCTTCTTCCTTCCGCGCCTTTAACAGAGGGGTTCTCAGATTCTGGATAAGGCTTCAAACACGTCGAGGACTTAACTTTTCCAGGTGATAAACTGCGGCAGGTGTTCCGTCATCTTAAGGAACAACATCCTTCAGAAACTCGTCGTACAGAGACTGATTTTTGCTGTAACCGTCGCTTTGATTTTGGTTAGTGCTCGAATCCATGAGCTTTTCGCTTCTTTTGCTATTGCTGCTCAGAAATCCGATTATACAATCACATTAATTGAAAGTGAGAATTATGAACAAAAACAAATTACGTTGGCAGATAGATAATTTCTTATCTGGAAAGAGTTCAAGAATGCCTCACGGGAAAACAGAGATTGCAATAAGTACTCCTATGAAATTAACGTATAAAATATTTGAACTTCTCAAGCTAACAAAGAATAACTTTGGAATGACTTACCATGGGTCGCCAAGAAGCTTTGGAGTTATTGTGTGTATGTATATATACATAAAAGAGAGAAGTAAAAGCGAAAACAAATGTTGGGTGAACCCTCTCATGATGGGCATGTGTCGGGTCGGGTCGGGTTTTGGTCCACTCGACCCGACCCGAGAATAAGGAATCCCCCACCCGAGATCCAACCTGACCTGACCAAAACAAGATTTCACCCGACCCGAACCCAACCCGAAATAATAAAAAAATATTATTTTTATTCAATAAAAATAATGAATTAATTGAAAAAAAAATAATATATCGAGGAGTATTATTATAATTATTCCTAAATATATAAGGTAAAATTATATATTTTTTCGGGTGGGGCAAGTATTTTCACCCTAACCCCGAACACTTTTTTTTTTTAAAAAATCCAACCCGATCGGGTCGGGTCATAACCCGTCGAGTTCGAGTCCCATGCCCATCCCTACCCATGACCACTATTATGTATTATTCTATTTTAATTAATTAATTAATTAAGCAATTATATACTAATAATTACATTATAAAATTATATGCTTTAATGATTTTTTAAAGTTAATAATAATTAAAAAATATTTTTTGTACAATAATTACAAAATATTATCCATTTGGAATCTTTATTAATCATTTACAATACACATATATCACAAACACAATTTAAACATTTAGATAGTACAATACTCCTTTTAATCACCAAATTATTTAATAAATTACAAATATGAAACTTCTAAATCGAGTAAAGAATAAATGTATGTAATAAAAAACGTAGAGTTAAGCGAATGCCAAACACAAAAACCTTAAATGAAATACTTGATATATTAAAGATGAATCATGAATATATAAATTTAAGTTTATTTAACAAAAAAAATTTAATTTATTATATGTGCTGAAATTTTATCGTTAAATTTGTTAAAATTTAATCTTGAATTTTATAAAAAATAAAAAATTAGTCTCTTTAATTAGAAAATATTGTCTTACATTATAAAATTATATTGTATTTTTGTTAATGTATTAGGAATAATTCTTTAATCAGAAAAATCATTTAGCACTAGTGTTGGTAATCGATTAATAAGGTGCGCAGCGGTAACAACAATGTATGCCAAAAACTTGTAAGGCATTGAGGCTCGAGCCAGAAGAGTGAGAGTCATCTTGATAAGATGATGGTGTTTTCTCTCCACAACACCATTCTGTTGAGAGGTGTGAGGGCAGGTGAGACGTGATGAATTCTTCTAACTCCGTTTCCTTATACAGTAATCCTTCTCTTCGTGTGGCAGACATTGACGAAGTTGAAGAAAGGGAAGGTGGAAGACCTCAGAAAGTTTACTATTCTGTACTGGTTAAAGGCGTTGATAATCTTGACCAGGTAATTATCCTTATAAACCGCAAACATAGTAACCTGTGTCATTAGAGTGCCACCGTAATTGCTGACTAGTTTTTTTCTTGACTTCTTTCAAGGAAATCTATCGAATAAAGTTGCCCGGAAATGCAAAGCTAGGCGAAGGAAAACCTGAAAATCAGAATCATGCTTTAGTCTTTACTCAAGGAGAAGCTCTTCAAACCATTGACATGAATCAGGTAAGGTCATCAAATTTTGTAATTATCAAAGTAGTAATAATTTTTAAGTAGATCCAATAACATTTCGCAGCAATGTTTTCCAGGACAATTACTTGGAAGAAGCATTCAAAATGCGCAATCTTTTGGAAGAAATTAATGAGGATCATAGAGTACGACCACCTACAATTTTAGGAGTTCGTGAGCATATCTTTACAGGAAGGTCTGAATGAACATTAATGTTTGCTTATTTTTTGTTTGCTTGGTTCTTGTTGGTATCTTTTGTTACTTAAGTGAACATCTGGTGTCTTTATTTTATGCTTTGAAATCTCTATTTGCAGTGTCTCTTCTTTGGCTTGGTTCATGTCAAATCAAGAAACAAGCTTTGTCACCATTGGTCAAAGAGTTCTTGCAAGACCACTGAAGTATGTTTTGATTACTAAAAGTTTACTTTTCTCTAGCGGTAACTATATAAAGGCCGTTATATCGTGTGAAAAAGCACTATCAATTGTCAATTTTTTAAAACCATATTGCTGAGAGAATGCATTATGACAAGCGAATGGCAGTGCTTTGTCATTTATAAATCATAGATACAAAAACCATAGAAATATCAGTTATATTTTCTGACATATTGTTTAATGCAAGTTATCTCAATGTTGGTTCCTGTGTATGATGATGATGATATACTTAAAAAAAATATTGGTGGGTTTTAGGGTTCGTTTCCATTATGGTCATCCAGATGTGTTCGATAGAATCTTCCACATAACCCGTGGAGGCATCAGCAAGGGTTCTCGTGGCATCAACTTGAGCGAGGACATCTTTGCTGGTAATGATGTTACATCAATTAAACCCCGTAGTCTTCGGTGAATTTATATATACAAGTATATTATCTTTTTCTTCCTGTACTTTTAACAGGTTTTAACTCAACCCTGAGACGAGGGAACATTACTCATCATGGGTATATTCAAGTTGGGAAAGGTAGGGATGTTGGGTTAAACCAAATCTCACATTTTGAAGCCAAAGTGGCTTGTGGTAACGGGGAACAGACACTCAGCAGAGACATCTACAGATTAGGCCATCGCTTTGACTTTTTCCGCATGTTGTCCTGCTACTTTACAACGGTTGGATTTTATTTCAGCTCAATGGTAATTCGTTTTCCTTTTAATGATTAAAACCCATGATTAATCCATAATTAAATAGAAGCAGAGTAGATTGTCTTGTCATCTGAAGTCTCTATGCTCGACAGGAGAACATCAAACGAATGCTTTTCTTCAATAACCCCACATATTTTTGAACAGTTTGAAAAGGATTGGGAGATGAGTTTCTTACAATTAACTTCGGCGCTGAACATATGAGCTTCCTAGAGGAGAGGTGTTAGAGTTGAAGTCAAATGATTTTACCAATTTTGATTTGACGATGGTAATTATATTTCTGGGATTCTGGCCAGGCCACGTTTATTGTAATACTCACTTCATCTATTACAGTTCGCTTGCACTTTGTTTCAACGAGTAAAATGAAGAATTAAAACAAAACGAAAGCAGGGGAGTGAATAAATGGAAATCAAGACTTTGATTGCTTTCAAGGACAAGCTGCTTCCTTTTCGGAAATGCTTGATGAACATGACAGACATATTAAATTGCATTTATAACATAGAGATGTAGATTTAGAGACACTTGTTTCTCAAGCCCTTCTGCCATTACAGTCCTTAACTTATTCCAATTTGCATCCCTAAAAGAAAAAAGAAAGAAACTTTGGCATTGAACCCCATAAATTTAGTAGGGGGCTAAGATGGATTCTATGAGCTCTTGAAGTGGCGCTAGCTCTTTCTTGTCAATCAGCCCAAATTCCTGCACATCCAAAACAACAATCTCAATTAGGCCTGCATTCTTGCCTACGAAAAGAAACCATGAGTTCATGACGGCTAGGGAGAAAAATAAAGTCAAGCGTGCCAAAGAATCATCTCCTAATTGTCCTGGAAGATGCATTAAACATCTTTAAGCTGTTGGCCTTTATTGGAATGTTCTTTACACTTGTATAAAATAGGTGCATAGTGGAATGGCAAAGAATTAAGAAAAAATATAATAATTATCAAGCAGAAGAAGACGTACGCAGGTAAACAGTATGAAATGCTTGAAGCATGTGTTCAGATGTGCTTCCTCCTTAAGGCTCACAATTTTCTGGAAGTGAGAGTGATAGATGTGGGCATATACACGGAACAGTCTTTTGAATATTGTCTTCACCACATCTTTGAAGTTTGGAGGAAAGGGTGCACCTAGAAAATTTGAAATGCAGAATAACATATATAAAGAGAATTAAAGACAAATGTCATATTACATAAACAATTATATTTCTCCAGAAGACTAATGTCTGAGCCAAGACTTCATCGCAGAGAATTAAAGAGGATTAAGCACATGAAATGAAGATATTACCTAGCTTTTGAGGAAATATTGATTCATCATCAAGTTGTGTTTCAATCCAGTCCATCAGATATTCAACATATTTTGGGGCAGAAACCTCAATAGGTTTCTTGATTTGCACACCATCTGCCCATCTATATTCATACCTGTAAAGTTTTGTAAGATGGCAAATAAGCAACTCCAGAAAACCCAAGAAATACAATTCCAATTTTTTTTTTAAATGAGTGGACTAAATTAAGGTGCACAAAAGTAAGAACCCAATTATTAAACCAATTGATCAGGCAGTGTAATATATCATGACTGAATATTAAATAACAGCTGGCAAGTTATATCTGTTTGCATATATATTAAAAAAAATTAAACGACTTTCCATGCATGTTTCAAAGAGATAAAAGAGCCTAACAATAAGTCAAGGGAGTCTCAATTTATCTCAATTCCTTGGAGACTTCAAACATCCATCCATCATTTGAAAGAAACAATTTTAATACCACAAACAGACCCAAACATATGTAGGAATACAGAATAACGAAATATTTAAATTTATGATTGTGCAACTAATTTATTGAAAAGACCAAAAGGAATAAAGTTTTATATATCATACTTGGGGCCTGCGGTCATTGTAGGACAGTTCTCACTGGTACAAAATTCAGTCAAGGTACCATAGAGCAGATTCACCTGATTGAAGAAGTCCACAGCTGAAAAAGATCAAACAATCATGTCTTAGCAATGAGATTAAAAAATGGCACCTAGAAATAGGGAAGCAAATGTGATAAAAACATTCTAGAAAAGAATTGGCTAATGGATTATATACACAATTTTACAAATATATCGAACAATTTATACAAGATGTAATATCTGGGTGTATGCGAGTAAAAAAGAAGGGAGAACGAGAGAGAGAGAGAGAGATACTGTTGACTGCGAGCCATTCATTTAAATCCTCCCCAGGGGGTAGCCTTACTGCTTCCCTTAGGTTTCCACTGCCCAGGGTAGCATCAATGTGCTTTTTAAGCTGTGCACCCTGCATTATGTCAAGATTACAACACTATGATGAGAACTGCAAAGACTGATAAGCCACTGATATAGAAGAATGAAGTCCAGAAAGTATTTTATAATGAAGAAACAATAAATAAGCCAGCTCTCAATAACTTGAGTGGAACCTGAAAATGGTTAATCAATTATTGCCAGTCTCAGCCACACAGCATTACTTACCATGTTTAGACAAAGATACTTGTTTAGTAAATAAAAAATAAAGAAATTATCACATGTAATACATGTATATAACGCCTTCTAACATTCATGAGTGGGCCACACTGGTGGGCTGTACGACCGTCATGAATGCCAAAATAGCATCGAAGTTTGTACAATTTCAGGTTTGCCACTGACAATTGAAGAAAACACTGTAACGTAAAGTTATTTATTTTTTGAATACATGACTAAATCTACAAAAGAAAAAATAAATATGAATGGTATGGTGAAGTGAATTCTTTACAAAGCAATAAATTTCAAGGTTTAGAAATAGTGGCAATCATTTAAGTAGCTAGAAACCCTAGCTGAAGAATCAGCAAAAGGCATTATTAGATCAAGTATACAGGAGCTTCTCTTCTTAGTTTGTTTGCAAATACGCATTAGATCTTTGGTGTTAAGTTGTGCTTGCATTGATTTTATTTCTATTTCTGGACACTTTCTAATAGACTCCCAGTGTGCTAAAGCTACATGCTCACACCCAAGAAGTTCTAGTCATCGGAAAGAGGAAGTGATTTATTTCCCAAGAGGGAAAATAGTGAAAGTAGTCAAATTAACAATCCAGATTCAAGCACAGAGTAAGAGAACATATCACATAAAATTCTAACAGGCAGGAGATGAACATTACTAATTATGCTTTATTAAAAAGAAAAGGAAGGAACAAGTAACCAACCTTACTTCCAGAAGGCGCACTTTTTTTGGGGCGGAATGTTCTCTGATTTCTGTATTCAGAGCAATTTATTATCAGGAAAATCTCAACTGAAAAGATAACCAGCTATGCTGCTCAGACTTGGGAATAGGAATTGGAAATATGCACACTTCTAAAATAGGCAAGTTAGACTTTCACAAGTTCCTTCATATAAATATAACAAACATGGAAGGCATTTCATGTGTACTGCAAGGTACATTAGGAATTCAATCAAGGAAAATATATAAAAGAAGCACTTTTCAGTATGTTTCTCTTTTTATGGCTTGAAATAGTATACAACACTTATAAAGCACACATGGACAAATGTGGAGGTCTGAATTGTTATCTTCATGAAATCTATAGAAGATCTCCTGGATCATTTGAAACTGATCATAGAATTGGTTTTTGGCAAATTAACTAGCTCCCCCATCAGACTACATCTGACATTCCAATTACTTCTCTTCCATTTTATTCAACTTTCTCAACTTCATTCTTCCACCAAAAGGCTACCAACAATGGCTGCAAATTGCCAACAAACCTAGTCTACTACTCATTCAATAGAATTCAGCTTCAAGATCCAAAGCTCAGGCTTCTCAATTGTGGCAGTATAATTTTTAAGGTTTAAAAAAACAAAAAAGAGCATATATTAACCTTTTAAACCTTTCTAAGGTAGTCATTCATGAAAACTGGTTACATGGCTTTTAATCATAGTTCTAACATAGAACCCAAAGACTGATAAGAATTCAGAACAAACCATTCATTGCTTAACACAAGAACATTAAGAGAAGCTCAACATGCATTGAGATTCACTATCGATTTTATCAACATAATCACTGATCTGATTGACCTTCACGTGACAGTTACCAAAAGCACAGCTAGTAGTGGATCCAATAAGACAATTGGATTGCAGTTTTTACAGTTAACAAAGGAAGCTAAGAATCAGGGAGGAAAATTTATGATGATAGATGAAACATTTTCAAAATACGAATTAAAATTTCATGAAGGTCTAAAAAGATTTGAATTTGCCCGTCGATATTGAATCAGAAAATGGCTAAAATTATACTAGATCTGACATACAATTCATCAGCAACAATTGGAAATAATCAAATAAGAAGGAATTAACGAAGAGATGATTAATTAACGGGGAAATAAGTAAGATTTTTCACAGAAATTTTGCGGGGGGAAAGTGGAAATTAAATTTCACCTGCCCAGACCGAAGAGACTCGTGGTTAGAGAGATGGACAGAAAGAGGCTTTGACTTTCGTTTCTTCAGGTGGAGCCTCTTCTTTTCTTTTCACTTTCTTTCTTACAAAAATTTCTTATAAGCAATATAACTAATAGGGTAAACTACACGTTTAGTGCTCTAACTATTACTTTATTCAGTTTTAATCATCTAACTATTTTTTTAATTCAAAATCATATCTAACATTATGTTTTGATTTCATTTTGGGCACTCAACGTTAAAAAACTAGAGGTGATTTTTTTTATACACATGAGAAAACAGAAGTCTAAAATCGTAGCCCGCTCGCTTCGTTCTTGTCGGCTCCTAACAACCCCTGCATTTCAGTTGGAGGCGGCCACAAAATGGAAAATTCTTCTTCTTAATTAAGCGCGGGGTTCGCCAGCTTATCAACGCATTTATTCCCCTCTCTCCAGATGTGTCGAACTTCAGAAACCCATCCTTCCTTTATCATTTCTAAACAGTCATTTACTAGATCAGAATCTGAAAAATCGTCCATCCTATCTCCATTGAAGAAGTCCACAATCCATTTAGCATCCATCTCTAGGATCAGATTTCGTAAACCAAGATTTTTAGCCAAAATGAGACCCTATCAAGCCCCCCAAATTTCCGCGATCGAACTAGTAGTAACCCTCCCTAGTCTCAACATGAAACCCGCTTTCCAGTCACCATTACTGTCTCGGATTATTTTGAAACGGAATGTTAGGTATTATTTTGAAATAAAAAATAAATAGGTGACTAAAATAAAACAAAAATAATAATTTATACTAATCGCATAGTTTACCAAAATAGAAGAAACATTAATATATAAAGCTGCCAGACAGTGATGTAATATATAAAGAACACCAGATCTGAGTAGTTGATACAATCCTCCAACACCAGTTTAGTCTTAGCACGAACCATACGCAATAGAAAACGCACACAGACACGAGCAAGATCACAATTTTAATACAAAATGAAAGCTTATTTTACATATATACATAGCCAAATGAGCCCGAGGGTTCGCAAAAACTTCGAGTCCAGTTGATGAAGACACTTTAAATGAGCAAACCATAAAACTTGGCAGAGAAAATTGTAACTCCAGTTCCCACTGTGTCACTCTCAGTAAGCTTGAACAGTTTCTAATCAAAAAATGCTACATGAAGAAATTATGGCTGTCAGGAAGGGGCAATCTGTTCAACTGCTCAAAGAAGTAGAACACGGGGTTTTGTTAGCGCGCCTAAAGCAGTTGGGTGCGGAAACAATCATTTAGTGAAAGCTTACGGTAACGGGAGAAGCCGAAATGGATGAACTCACCTTTAGGATAGAATTTGAGGCCTTTGATATGATTCAAGGATTCCACCAAATTTTGCTGTAAAGTTTAGTATCAATTAAGTTGAGGATCTTCAGTTTTTGAAGGGCACTCAAATCTGGCAAGTTCTCAAGCATCTTACAACCTGAGAGGTCAATTTCCTCGAGTCTAGTGTGTCTCCTCAGATCCGGCAGATATCGTAACAATTCACATTTCTTTAGTCTCAGTTTCTGAAGGTTGCCATCTACAGGAGGCAAATATTGTATCCGAGTTTCAGATAGATCAAGTTCTCTAAGACTTTCTGCTCCTTCAAAGCAGTCATACATAATTTCTCTTATGTTAGTTGCACCTGAAAGATCAAGAACCTTGATGTTCGAAACCTGTCTGAGCATGCGCATTCCAGTCAATGCACTACACCCTTTTAACAAGACTAACCTCAGGTTTCCAAGAGTCCTGATGATAGGTAATTTCAGAATTTTGGTATGGGAAAAGTTAATCACTTTAAGCTTTTTAAGTGACATGAAGCTCTTTTCTTGGATCTTTTTCAAACTTGTGCATTCAAAAAGATCAATTACCTCAAGTTTAGCGAACTTTGCCAGCTTCGGAAGCTGTTCTAAGGAAGAACACTGTCTAAGGGCGAGCCTCCGCAGTTCAATCAATCCAGAGAAGCTATCAGGTAATGACTCGATTCCAGTTCCAGAAAAGTCAAGGCTCCGAAGTTGGGGCACTTGAAGGAAAAAGTCAGCCGGGAGGTTTATCTTCCAATCTCTTGAACCAGATATTTCCAGAACAGTCAAGGCTCTGAGTTTTTCAACAATATTTACTTTCTTCAACAGGTAAGAGCCTCTGAACATCATGAGCAGAAGCAGCTTGTCCACTTTAGATATGAAAAGTTCCTCGGGAGATTCGAGCCGGGGAGGAACAATAGCAAGCGGATTGAGGTTCTGCTTATCTCCAAAGAAAGTATCATGAACTTCCCTGCATAGATGACTTCCGTCAATCGGTAGCGAGATAATTTTCTCCTCCATATCACCACACAGTGTCCTCATCATGCCACCACCCACTGTCCCCATAAATTTTTCTCCTGTTAATCGGAAGAAAAAAAAGTCAGAAGAACAATAAAATATTATTCATCAACAAAAAATGAAAAAAGGAGAGAAATTTAGAAAACAGATTACCGTCAGCGTCGTCTTCTTCATCGATCTCTTTGGTACAGCCTCGATTGGGTTCTTGGGTATTTCCTTCAGCTTGTTCATCACGGATCTCTATTTGGGCATTACCTTCACTGGATTCTTCACCGATCGCTGCTTGGATATTACTCATATCTCACGCTCACGGATTCCCTTTTGTAAATAACCAGTACAAATTAGTGCGGCGTATTACTAATAAAAGAAGGGGAAAACATCTAAAATTTGTGAAGCCCGCTGTACAATCCTGGAAACAAGGGGAATAAGATCTCTTGTGTAAAAAAATAAAAAATTTACAGTGATATCATGAATTGTTCCTGAATAATCACCTAATCAAATAATTTTCCCCGAAGACGTATGATCCCAAGGCTAAGGCATATGAAACCTTGAACATACAGCATTCATCTTTTAGAAGCACAATGAAGTGAGGAAACAGGAGGAGAAGGGGATATTAAACAGCAAAGGAAGAAAAAAGGAAAACCTGGATGCCTTGAATCTTGAAGGATTTGAAGCGGAACACAAGTGACAACAACCTCAGTAACCGATCAGCGTCTTACGTTTTGTGTCCTTCCTTTCTTCTTAAGATTCTTTTGAGTTTGCTTGAGGTTGAGGTTTTGTTTCTTTTCTTTTTGTTTCTTTTTCTTTTTCCTTTTCCTTTTCTTTTTCTTTTTCGGATTCTGATACCAAATGAGATTAACAAAGTTAAGACTTCCATTTTCTAAAAATTAGTCAGATTTACTATATATATATATATATTGTTTTCATCCGTCTTTGTTAAAAATAAATAAAATTATTAATGTGATATTTTTTATTTAATAATGATATAACATTATCTTTGGTGATATATTAATATCATAATTATTTTTTAACGATGTATAATTAAAATATAATATTAAATGTAATTTAAAAAATAGTTGAATAATCAAAATTAACAGCGAAAATAGTTAGATAATTACATATATTATTTACCTTAATATTTAATGATTTATAGAGAGAGATAACTGCATCATAGATCCCTAAACAATAACCTTCATTTTGAATTAGTCCTTAAACTTTATAATATTCTAATTACATCCCTAAACTATGACTCTCATTTTCAATTAGTTCTTAAACTTTTGGGCATTCTAATTTTATCTCTAAACTATGATCATCTTTCTAACTATGACCATCTTTCTAAATTAGTCCCTCAAACTTTTGAATATTCTTATTTCATCCTCAAATTCATCCAAATATGTAATTATTTTCAATCATAGTTTAACCTAAATTTTGTTTTCTTAAACATATAATAATATAATTTGGCCTAATAATTTTATTAACAAAAGATGTGATTAGTATATATGTATAATTTGGGATTAAATTGGAATATTAAAAAAGTTTAGGGACCATTTAAAATGAATGTCATAGTTTGGGGATGAAATTGAAAAGTTTAAAAGTTTGAGAACTAATTTAGAATGATAGTCATATATTAAGGAGAAATTAAAACATTAAAAACCTTCATGATCAATTTAAAATGAGAGGCATACTTTGAGGACATGTGATGCAATCAATATATATATATATATATAATCACCCTGTTGCAGTAGTCGTTGGTGCTAAAATTCAAGAACTTAGAAATAATAATCATTTCTTTAGTCTTAATTTGGTTTGTGCACCAAATAGTTATTTGACTCTATTTTTTTTTGAGCATTTTGACTCTCCAACACTTAATTTTAAGGTAAAAAGACTTCTAGCATCTCTAGCATTTAACTAATTAGTCATTTAAACCTTTGTTCTCTTCTCCCGAAATTTTTTGGCCTCGATATTTTGTTTCCAGACGAAAGATGATAGCCAGATGACCAAATCACTAAATAGTAGGCGTGTGACAAAATATGTAATTTACCCTTACTTTTTTAAATAAATTGAAAATTATTTTTTAAAAAATAATTTATAAATAATGATTAAACATGTATCACATAATAATGAAAATCCAACTAATATTTAAGAAATGGATTCATGAACAAGGTTCAAGTCTGCTCGAGTACGGACAACAAGTGCAACATATAAAGCACAAGAGAGCAGTAGTTGATAAAATCCTCCAACCACCAACTGTTTAGTTTGAACATACACATACCAAGCAAGATTAACTTCAGTTCCCAACTTAGTAAGCTTGAACAACCCTCTCATCAGAAGTTACATGAAGAAATCATGGCTGTCAAGAAGATGAACAACCCTTGAGCATGCTAGCCAAACCAGGATCCCCTGCCCCCCAGTATCCACGGCGACAGTACTCATCCATCTTAACAGTTGCACCCTCCAGAACAAAAATATTGTCCTCCTGCATTTTCAGCATGTTATATTCCATAAGCTTCATCAACACAGCGTGTCCCTCCACATAAGCCTTATCAATCTCATTGATGTGCTTGAGACAGCCTTCCATTATCCAGCTAATGATCAACTCATTGTAGTTAACACCACCATGTTCTCTCAAGAAGTTCCAACTATGCCAGAAGCAGTCAATCATCGAATTGCTGGGCTTCCTATCATATGCAAAACGCAAAAGTTGTTTCAGACCACCAACTGCGGCCTCCATAGCAGGTTTTAACTCCTGACGGTTATCCTTTTCAAAGTAACTTAATGTCCCCGCTAACGGAAAGATTTCTGCAGGCTTCTATCTGTTTTCACGCAATGCCTTAGATACCTCTCCATACTCGTCCATAAAAAAAATTCGGCCATGAGCATGTTTTATAAACAATGTGGATGCCGGTTTACCAGAAAGGCGTTCGAGTTTTAGCTTCGTTGCTTCCTTAGCCATATCAGCATCTTCAATTTTCCTCCTTGTGATAAGAACCCTCAATTCATCGACCTTCTCCGTGCTTGATTTCAAGCCTAAAATCTTTTCCTTGATTCTACGCTCAATCCCCATGTTATCATTCTGGTCTTCATGCAGCATATCTACCTGACCATCCAAAACCAATAGAACAAACTTGTTAGTCTTTTTGGCCTTTTCAAGCTTTTCTGCCATTTTCTCCTGCAGGGCCTTCAGTAGAGTCTTCACACTCACCGGATTCTTCTCCTTTTTATCAGTTTCACTAGCATCTTCTTCCCTTTCATCTGCACTAGTAGGGAGACAAAACTGACAGGCAACAGTGTCTACAAAAGACCTCGTATCATGCTTTTTGTCCAGAGATATCCAAATGAGCTCATCGTACTTCTTCAAAGCAACCTTACATATTTCTTTCGCCATCCACGTTTTTCCGGTTCCAGTCTCGCCAATGAGAATAATTTTTTACTCGCCATTTTCGCCATTTTCACCGTCTTTGAACCAGTCAAATATCTGCTGTGCACTTTCCTCCGTCAATGAAATAAGAAGAGATAAATAGTATGCTTGTTGTATGAATTGCATGCTAAAAATGCGTAAATGATACGTTTGTTAGATAATTTACTTGCTAAAGCAGTTATATAGCATGCCCATTATATGTTCTATATGATAAAGTAATTATGTGTAGATATTAATTTCTATGCTAGAGTGCCTATAAAAAATTTGTTGTATGAAGTGTATGTCAAAGTGTCCCATATGTTGCGTTGATATATTATTAGTATGATAAAGTAACTAAATAATAATGTTTGATATATGAAGTGCATGTTATCATGTCTATATGAAATGTTTGCTAAAAATGCCATCATGGTAAATGTAATAAGTGAAATACGTGCTTATATGATGTTTTATATCTTTATTAAAGACCCGCGTCATAAATTAGTGAAAACTTGTTTGGTATAATTGTCATGCCATGCCATAAAGTATAGACTTCTATGTGTTTTCTTTGCGCTTTGTACTTATATGTTCACTTGAATATTTTTTTTAATAGTCGGGAGTGATTATAAGGTAGTATTCGTTCAAAAAAATTTTAATCTATTGACAACGCATTAAAACCCAACAAACGCAATTACTCGAATCTAAAATTTCTCTAATCATGTATGGAAGAAAAAGAGTGCTAATTAAACATGTCAATACAGCTCTGTGCGTAAAGAACCAACCAAACATAAACAATAAAGTTCCATCAGCTACCAGCAACACAAAAACGCACATAGCAGCCCCCGTTCTAACCAAACCAAGTTAGCCTAGAATGTAAAAAGCAATAGTAACCAAAAGCAAAACCAAGAGCAGTTTAGCAAACCAATCCATGTATCCAGCTCACGCTTGTTCCAGGAGGCGACACCTTCTTCCAATTGCAGGAAGAACCCCAGCAAGAATAGCAGACCATCTCCGGCATCGAATTGCCCATTTACAGATTTGATTTGTTTCCAATCAACACAAGGAAGCACGACCCCTTCAACAGCTACCTTTAATCACTCACTAGTAGCTCAAGAAACCTGTTTGCTCCTTTTTTAGCCAATGTGTCAGCAAGTTTATTTCCTTCTCTGTTAATTAGATTTATTACACCCCCACAGCTAGATAAAGCTTCAATACAGGCTTTGGTTAGATACTTGAAAGCCAACGAAACCAGATGCAGATTTTTAATCCACAACACAGCAGTACTGCAATCAGATTCAACAATTAAATTCTTCTTTCCAGCCCAGACAGAGTCAAAGAACAGCAAGCAAGCTTCCTTTATTGCTAAAAGTTCGGCAGACAATGGATCCGATGCACCTATCGATGTAGAGAACTGCAACAGGATTTTACTAGGATATCTGGCTTTCACAACGTAATAAAAATATGAGTAAAATAAATCTATTTATTTGTCGAAAACGCCTTTCAGGTGGGCCCAATATTAGACTTCGACTTAAGAAAATAGATTAGGAGTCGTCACCGATCATTTATTTTAAGAATAAAACGGGTTGATCGGATACCCTATTTCTTACCTTATCTGCGTCTTACTAAAGATGTGTTGGATTCGAGAGTCGATTACAGTCAAGGAAGGGTTAGCACCCTTGAACTGCCCTTTCGATACTATGTAATTTCCAGTTGTCTTTGATTAAGAAAATTTGTAACTTTAAATCAAAAGGTGAAATAACGATTCAAAACTTACCTCTGATTGCTTGAAATAACCTTTTATTTCTTTTGCTGTCAAACGATTACAAGACTCGTTTTCCTTTCGAATATTCCTGTTTTTCTTGTATTTTTTGTGTAATATGCTCTATGTGAAAATCATGTGTGTCCTTGTTCTAGTTACAAGCATCTTATTTATAGTCTAAAAGAGACTATTTTAACCCCGATTTATTCGGGTTTTGAATCCTAAAGGGGCTGAAATTTGTTGGTTGTTGATGTTGATTGAAGTCCCACTAACACACGTTTGTCTTGTTGTTGATTTTGTGAGAAACGACCGGAGAAAATGGTGGAGCAGCGTACGGCGTGAGGAAACTTCAAACGACCGAACAGCATGGGGCATGCAGCGCTAGGGTTTCTGAAAACCCTAAGTTTGCACGAGTTTAGCTTGGAAACTAGTTTGCACGTGGGTTTGGGTCTGGTGTACTGGGCCACTTGCTTTGTAATGGTTCTTGGGCCACCTGTAAAATGTAACATAAATATATATATATATATATATATATATATATATATATATATATGGTTTGCAATAAACAAATATATTATATAAAATAATATCCAAGGACGAAATTTGATGTCTTTAGCTACCCCTCTTTGCTCATTATCGTGTAACGAAAATAAAGCAAATATTAAAAGACACAAATTTTGTTCATATCGAATGTCCTCCTGTGTGGAGTTGAAATCCGACATTGAAACTGATTTGTCAATTTAAATCACGAAATGACTCCCTCGTCGTGAGGTTGAGTAAAAAACTAGAAAATTCTGAGCACGAAATCCTTCATCGTGAAGTTGAAATAGAAATCAGAGTATCAAAAAGTGGCTTTTGGATCACCTTTTGGCTCAAGATACTTCGTCGTGAATGTGAAACTTGACCCGGAAACTTTGGTGTTGTTGTGTTACAGATAACTCATTCGTCGTAAAGTCGGGTTAATCTGTTAGGGTACAATACCCTTCGTTGTGAATTTGTATATGATAATTGGATATCCTTCGTCGTGAAGTTGAAATCCAAGTAAGTTGTATTGTTCCCAGTCCAATATCCTCCGCCGTGAAGTTAAAATTGACTCTGGAACTGGGAAATTGTTTGTTGACAGCCCCTTCGCTGTAAAGTTGAGCTTGTGTTGTCTCGAGTCTAATATCTTTCACTGTGAAGTTGAAATTGACTCTAAATGAAACTGAAAAGTTGTTTGTTGACAGTCAATCACCCCTTCGCTGTGAAGTTGAGCTTGTGTTGTCTTGAGTCCAATATTCTTCGTTGTGAAGTTGAAATTGGCTCTGAAACTAGGAAATTGTTTGTTGACAGCCAGCCGCCCCTTCGCTGTGAAGTTGAGCTTGTGTTGTCTCGAGTCCAATATCCTTCACTGTGAAGTTGAAATTGACTCTGAATGAAACTGAAAAGTTGTTTGTTGACAGCCACCCCTTCGCTATGAAGTTGAGTAACCACCATCAATTTCCGAATGCGCTTTTGAATCAAGTATCTTTTATCTTGAAGTTGAAATTTGACTCTAAAAGCTGTAAAAAATTATGTGTGCTAAAAATGATAAATGTGATGCTCTTAAGTATGTCTAAGATGCATGCAACATGAATGAGTTATGTTTTATCTCTTGGATTGGAGTCCCGTGTTTTGTCTGCCAATCTAGTCCATGGAATCGATCATGCCCCATTCTTTTTTCAAGCTTTGGCTTTACAAACCTTTCATATATGAGACTGTTCTGTTTGAAAATGTTTTTCTCATTTTTTCTTGTTTTAGGAGGGAAAATAATAAAAATGCTGTAAAATATTGTTCGCAATTGAATCAAATTATAAACATGAGTTCAAAGTATATCAAAGGAACCAATAGCTCTTTTAATGTTTTCAGAGTTACAGCTCTTTGGCAAATGTTCAAATGGATGAGTTGGCTTTAGGTTGGCCTCCTTTCTAAGGTTTCGGTCATCCAAAATGTCATTTTTTGAAATATCAAAACATGTTTTTTTTGGCATTTTAATTGGGTGCAGAAAAAATGACGCAACTAGCATGATAAATTACTAGACCTTTTATTTCAGTCCTCTGAAATCTTCCATTTGTTCAAGTTTTGTAAGCTCCTCTAACAAAGGTAATGCATAAATATCGTCTAAAAATGAAATTCTTGAGTGCTCGTATGAAATTGACTATAACAGGTGTTCCTTAACTCCCTTAGTCCATTTTACCGAAACTTCTTGCTTAGAAAAATTTGATTTAATTTGTCGTTATCTAGCTAGCTGAATCCATAAAGCCGGGGCATTTAACCAATTGCTTTAGATGGACAACTTAACATTATAATCAGTTTTATCAAGTTAACTGAAGGGTTCATCTCATCACAAAGTCTTCGGCCAGACAATAGCAGTGGAGCAAACATCGAATTGCCAAGTGTTCGAGCAATGTCATGGTTTGAACATAATCTACTCATAAGGCCAAGGCTTTCAAGTTTTCTCTATAACTAATTGCCTTAGCGAAATAGCTCAGTTTTACGGATTTAATTTCTTAAGATTGTCAAGAAGAACCTGTTATAGTCTAGGTGTTGTTGAAAGTCAAAAATTTCATCTTTAGAGTTCAATTTTCAAGAAACTGACCTAAGCTAGATTCACTTACTCGACTATTACATCTGTAAAGATAATGATCATCATTGAACGTCTTAAACAAAAAGTATAGTAATTGTCATATACAAATGATGCCCCATGTTGTCCGCAACTTATGAAAGGAAAATGTTACATTGGTTAATTGCAAGAGAATGGTACGGTGTTTGAGTGTATATTCTGGGTAAGGTAAAAAGTCCTTGTTTTAAATCATGTTACTTTGTCAGAGATCTGTAACTTTGAACCATTTACAGAGTTTCTTAATTCAGTTGATATTCAAAGAATTGCAAGTTTGCAAATTTGATTCATTTCTCGTCATCATTAAAGTAACATAAATTTATTCAAACGTTCTTACAAAAACTTAAGAAAAAATGGAAAAAAACTCAAGCAGAATGCCTTAAATGATGAAATGGTATTCCTCACTTGGATGCCCCCGAGTTGTTGAAGTTGATCCAATTCTTGTTATATATTTTCTGTACGATTCTCTTGAATGTGGAGTAGTTCTCGATAGTGTGCCTTGGGACACCGCTATGATATGTGCAATGAGCGTTCTCATTATACTACCTGGGGTACGGGGACTTCATGGATTTCTCTGGATATGGTGACACCATA